GCTGACGAGCTTCTTCTGGCTGACGTCACGGAATCCGGCCGTGGAGGCGAAAATAAGATCGGAAGCGGAGGCGGTTCTCGGCCGCCATCACAACGACGCCGTTCCGTCGTTTGCGGAGATGACGGAAATGCACTACCTGACGTCAGCGGTCTACGAGACGCTTCGGCTCTTCCCGCCAGTTCAGTTCGACTCGAAGTTCGCGTTAAACGACGACGTTTTACCCGACGGGACAATAGTGAGGAAGGGCGACCGGGTGACGTACCACCCATACGCTATGGGCCGGATGGAGTCCATATGGGGACCCGACCGCCTGGAATTCCGACCCGAGCGGTGGCTGAACGACGACGGATTGTTCGTGCCGCGGAGTCCATACGAGTACCCGGTTTTCCAGGGCGGGTCGAGGGTCTGCCTGGGGAAGGAGATGGCGATCGTGGAGATGAAGACCGTGATTCTGGCCGTGATCCGGCGGTTCAATGTCCGGGTGGCGGATCCGGGTCACGAACCGAGGTTTTCGCCCGGTCTGACCGCTACGGTCAGTGGTGGGCTGCGGATGGTGGTCGAGGAGGTCAAGAGATAAGCATGGTTGATGACGTGGAGGTGCCACGTAGGTGTAGGCTTGTGTTAGGGAGAACACCAGACTTGTAGACTGCTGACGAATGTTGACGTGAAATAGAGCTAATGACTTCATTGCCAAATGTGTTGGTGCTATATGATGTGTTAATTTCCTGTCAAAATTTCGCGAGGAATTAAAATTCGTGATGCGCAAATTTGTCTCGATCCATTCTTCTTATTTTTTCGGTCCCGCGTAACTTTATGACTCAAATCAGATGACATAGAAGCGTAAGCATGATGTAAGTGCCACATTCAGTAAGATAGTCGAAAATCATACGGTTGTGTTCTTTAACGAGACGGTTGTTATTTGGCTAAACAACGCTTTTTTCATATATTTATTGAAAGCAAGTTTACTGCAAACTGACAACTTTATTCATAGATGGAGATTGATCTTTATACACAGACTCTCAACAGAAAGTCTCTAAACTCAGATCCCTCAAACGGCTATCAACCCTAATCCCTGAGGAGTAGCTAAGATCCTAAACCAATCTGAAACTAACCCTGCAACGGCTAACTGACTATTGCTGACATGACACAAACAATAAGGACTAAACTGAAACAAACCAAAACGACGCAGTTCCAACTTAAACGAATGACAGACACAACTTTTCCTTCTCCAATTCGGATTCAACACAGCAGAAACTTCAACATTTATAAATACGATCTCTTGTACATTTGTGTTATTTAAAGAGGGATAGAGAAGTGAATGGTTGATTTGCAATTTATTTCGACCCACCCACCAATAATCTGAACCCCTATAGATGGACAGATAGCTAATATATCTGTTGGATTGTGTGTAGGGTAAATTTCCTATCATACTTATCCGGAAAGGTGATGGATGGGTTGCGAGTCACCCGAATAACCCACGTCACTCTAACATAACAAATAATTGGATTTTATATATCATTGTAAGGTTATCATCTTATTTTTTTTTAATTGTATCACACGCTAACCATCCATTCTAAAAGCAGAAAAGAAAGAACGGTTTTTTTAGCTGCTACTATGTTGTGTAATGTTCATTGTGATGTAAATCACAAATTACTAAATGTATTAAACGAGTATTTTATCTAAAGCGGCCAAATGAAAACTTGGTCTACCCAATTCCACTAAGCAAACTCATCCAACCTAACCAAAGGAGAAATGAGATGAATAATGAGTGTACCAATTTTAAGTAAACGTAGTATATATCAGTTTATCCCAACCCATCCAAAAATTCCAAACCCGAGCCTATTTTAAGAAAGTTGCTGGACCCTAATTATTTTCTGCTGGCTCGCCCTCCTCTTGTAAGTTGTAACGTGAGACAGTAGATTTCCCATAATAAGCTGCACGATAATAAATTGCACCTGTCAGTAATTAGGTGAGAGTTTTTAATTGTTTACGGGGTCGATTAAATGGACTTTTGCTAATTAAGAACAATATTCGATTTCTCTCTGCACAGTGTACTACTTGTCGTTTTGCTTAATAAAAGGAATTTGGCATCTTCCGTTAATAAATTTTATCAAACAAATAAACTAGTTAATTAGCATAATTACTTGCAACCGCACATTGAATGCGTTAAACAATCAATCTCCGATAATAAGATTGGCAGCGATCGGCCAACCGATCAAGTTGATAATAACATGGGAAACATGGTGATGCATGTCTCGTCAAAACATTTCCAATCAACATTTTCTTCTAAAGTACCAAAGATTCCCACTCTTTTAATGGTTTATTTAACGATTAAGTCATTCTCAAAAGTAATTTGTATGCGATCGCACGTCTTATCAACATGGTCAGTAGGTAGTCCACCTCACCTCCTCTCATACACATCTCTATTATATATAAAAAAAATTACGTTCGACGTTTGGAATTAGACATTAGATTATGGAGTATAACATTGGTGACAGCGAATTAGAAACATGCTTCTCATGTTACATATTGCATAAGAAAATTAATCAATAATCATCTTCGATCTTCTCTAGACCATCAGAAAGCAGTTCTAGGGCGCACTAATCCTGTTAATGATGAACCCACTTAGTTAATTAAATTGGTGATAGAGTTGAGATCGTAGGTCTATATTCTATTCTACAGCACGCCAACCAAGCTGATCAGTCTGTATTAATTATTAATTACTAATTACGATAAGTTGGCATCCCAACTTAAGCCATATATAAGCTTTTTATAAGTTATGTTCTTTTATTAATCCATTTTGATGTGTTAGCCTGTTAGGTACGTAACTCGGTGCAGGCGTGGCCAATTTGGCCATGCAGTTTCATCAATACCATTCATTAACACGGATATTATCGAGCTTCCTATGTGGATGGTATCATTCAACATCATGAATATATGTTGAGTATCAATGATTTAACTGTTAAAGTGACCAACTCATAATTGATGAATTCGTAGGCATCCAAATTCCTAAGTAAATGGCATCATCCATCTTGAATGCAACGTGCGAGCTACTTTTCGAGAAGAGGAGAGATCGCAGTTAGGGAGCTCTCAAAGTAAAATTTTGCAGCAGTTACTTGAAGAGAGAGGACATCATTCCACACACAGGCAACTTGTCTTGTTCATTCCCCCCTCCCTTTCCTCTGTAACCATAATTACGGTTCTCTCATTTCATGAATGATTCTCTATGGTCAGAGTCTTATAGTTGTAGTCGCGGAGCTCTTCATAAATCTTTATAGGAAGTAGTGTAACGTAATGTAGATTTCTCATTACACCAAACACTCTCGTTCGACCAACATTTGAAGATATGTAAAACAACATCAACAATTATCATCTTTATAATAGCCCGACCGCATCACCCATCCACATATTTTTTTTCCACCATTTAACAAATATCCCGAGAATTTCTCATTAATTAATTGGTCTATTTAACGAATAAGTCATTCTCCAAAAGTAATTTGTCTGCGCGATAGTACGTCTTATATCAACGCGATCAGCAGATGATTTATCTTACCTTTTAGACATTAGAATATTGAGTACAAACATAAGCGACAAAGAATTAGAAACATGCTTCTCATGTTACTTACATATTGCATAAGAAAATTAATCAACTGCTTCTAGATATATAGACCAACAGAAAGCAGTTTCTAGGTGCACTAATTCCCTGTTAATGATGAACCCACTTACTTAATAGGAGAGTGCATATAATAAAGGTCTATATATATATATATAGTATATTCTACAGCACGCCAAGCTGATCAGTCTGTATTAAGATATGGTACAATTAATGACGAGGAGTTAAGGCCCTCTTAATTTGACATTAAACACGAAGCAGAAAACATGCATATGCATTTGCATGAGCAGCCGGCAACCAGAACTACTGATCATTATCTGCATGTGGAGTGGAATGTCTCGATCGAGTAAGGGATGTCAGTAGTGCCGCGAATAATGAATTTGGTCTAATGGTTTTATAACCTGGCCTATAATTTAAAAATCATGTGTTCGAATTCTAACGATAAATATAAATTTAGAGATCGTTTGGACGTTTTCATTGTTAAGTGTTAGAAACCGAACATAAAAATAGGGTTACCGATCTGGCTGAGTCGCGGACTAGGTCGCTCTCTTTAAGACGTTCGCGGCACTGCCTTCGTTGCGCACGGCAGACTATCAGCCGGTCGTCTCCAGGATAAAACAGCCATTCTTATTTTGTTGCTCATCGGTTTTGTGCGAAAACCGGAGCTCTATGAACTCACTCTCTATCTCGTGTTTCTGCTCTCTGAGGTGTGTTTAGAGGGTCTAGGGGTCTGCTATTTATAGGAGCAGAAAACCTAGAATATTCCCTCTTTCTTTGGGAATAAGCCACATTTTAATTAGGAAGATAATTACTTCCATAATTAAAATATATTATATTATATTAAGATAATTAATCCTAATTATCTCCATAATATTCTTTTTATTAATTATCCTTCCTATTTTTCGTATCTAGAAAGAATACGGGATAATTAATTCAATATAGCTTTCAAAGCTATTCATTCCCAACATTAAGTAGATGTAGTACTGTTGTGAATACATATGTATATAATATTATACATGTATGGATGAATTTGATACGACGCATTGTAAAATACAGCATTTGGAATGTGTGATTATGTATGCCACGTCAGCTAAATACTGAAACAAAACAATCTCAACGAATCGCTGAGATATATATAACAATCACTCAGTTTGAGTTATAATTTCTGTCCCATCACAAACACAATCCATATATTCTGTATACTAAAAAATTGAGAAAAAATGCAATCTAAATAAATTACAAACAATTTCACAAGAAAACAATGGCAACTTTCAAAGCAACCCTTATTGTCACTTTAAACCATAAACAGATAGTAAGTGTCGCTTAGGCAAAGGGAAGCAACAAATGTGGGAAACCCTTTTTCACACCCTGAAGCCCAAATGAATAACTATGGGCCTCCGATCATGGGCTCGATAGCCCGCAAGCCCACGATCCCCTCGACGTCCATCGCATCAGCCTGCTCCCGAACCACCTTCCAAGCCTCAACGACGTGTCGAGTCTCCGTCAGCGTAGCACCGACCGCCAGCCTCAGCATGTAAATCCCTCCGGCCACGGCATGCGTCATGAACACACGACCGGAGCCGTTGATCGACTCGAGCAGCTTCTTGTTTGCCAGATTCGCGACTCCGTCGTCGACGGCGCAGTCGCCGCGACGGCGAGCTCCAGCCACCATCCTGAAACAGACCATCGAGAAGCGACGCGGGACGACGATCTCGAACCTCCCGTCCTCGGCGACGAGCTTCTCGAAATCCTCGGCCATTCGGACGTGGCTCCTCAGGAAGTTCCGCAGGTTAGCCACGCCGTTGCTCCGGAGGACCATCCACAGTTTCAGGGAGCGGAACCTTCTGCTCAAGGTCACCTGTCAATAGAGTTAGACAAATGGATTAGTAAATAGTAACCACAATGCCATAATAAAAGATTTCAGGTACTACAACGTAATTTTCAATAATACTTTATGCAAAAAATAAAATTTAGGTATCAACATGTGTAAGATATAAAAGTACATACGTTCTAAACTGTAATTTCAATCTACAAATTTAATTGTAGTTGGAATAAATGGATTGCCACATCCAAGGATATTAAATGGATTGAATGAATTTAATATATTATTGGATGAGTTAGATAAAAAAATTTCAATTGTTATGATTTATGCATCACCACAAATATCATGAAGGAGACCATAAATTAAATCACATATTAGAAATACAACAAACAACACTATAAATTTTTTAAAAAAACTTATAAAAGCATACAGGAACCTTATCACGCAACAGACATCATAAACCACACAAAAAATACCAGGAAGTTTAAAAAGCATACAAAAATCTTATCGCACCACAAAATTCATAAACATACCACAAGTTTCTTGAAACAGACCACATTTTCCCTTAAACTTACCAAAAATCTCATAAAACATACCACAAATTTCTTACAGCATATCAGAAACATTTTAAAGCATATTATAAGTTCAATAAAGCATATAAGAAACCACATAAAGTATATCACAAGTTCTTTAAAGTATACCGGAAATCTCATAAGGTTGGACCTATTTGATAATTTTTAATCATCAAATTGTAAGGCATAAAATTTTTAGGTACTTCAATTTCCATAAATATTTTAGATAGTAAACCCTAACATCTATTAAGTTAAGTATCACACATTAAATTTTTTTTTATGAAACCCTAATCAATATAATGGACATTGGACAGGGAGGTTCTGTGAGTGGTTATTTACTATGACACCCTAATTAATAAATTATGTTAACATGATACTATCCTCAAAATCTCCACCACTACCTGCCAGTCCTTGTAATCACGCCTCCCTCGTCGGAGGCCTGGTTCCTGAGGTACTCGGGATTGGTAGACAACGATCTCCTGAGCGCGCCCGGGTCCTTCACCCAAAGGCAGCAACAGTCCAGCGTGGTCAGGAACCACTTGTGCGCGTTCAGGCTGAACGAGTCCGCCCCTTCCACGCCGTCAATCACGTGTCGGAACTCCGGGCACACGCACGCCGCCCCGGCGTACGCCGCGTCGACGTGGACCCAGATGTCGTGCTCCCTCGCCACCCGGCATAGGGGCTGCAACGGGTCCACGGCCGCCGTCGGGGTGGTCCCGACCGTCGCGCACAGGAACATCGGGACCAGCCCAAGTTCCCGGTCGGACCGAACCGCCTGGTACAACTCGTCCGGGCACAGCCCGAACGACGTCGTTTTGCTCGCGGGGACCACCCGAACATTCCCCTGTTTTATCCCCACGATCTTCGCCGCTTTTGCAAACGCGCAGTGGGTTTGATCGGAGCAGTAAACCACCAGCTTCCCGATCCCGATCTCTCCTTCCCCGATTTCGGCCAGTTTTCGGTCCCTCGCGGCGACGAGCGTCGCGAGCAGAGCCTCGCAGGTCGTCCCCATGATGACTCCTCCGCCGTTTCCGGAGAAGAGGAATGGCTTCGGGAGGTTCAATAATTCTCCGAGCCAATCCATCACGATGGCCTCGAGCTCCGTCGCCGCTGGCGACGCCACCCAGCTGAACCCGACGACGTTGAGCCCGGCGGTGAGGAGCTCCCCGAGGATTCCGGCCGTGCTGGCGGTGCAGGGGAAGTAGGCGAAATGGGCAGGGTGCTGCCAGTGAGTGATTCCGGGGATTATGTGGGTTTCAATGTCTTTGATGATTTCTTCGATTGGTTCGGCGGCGAGAGGAGCGGAGCGAGGGAGGAGATGACGGAGGTAGCCTGGTTTGACTTGGCTCAAAACAGGGTAATGTTCGATGTTGTTGTAGTAGTCGGCGATGAAGTCGATTACCATGTGGCCTTGTCGCCGGAATTCCTCGGGATTCAAGGGGTGAACAACGTTATGAGGTGATTCCGGTTCGTTGTCGGCGAACTCGTGGCTGGTCATGGCGGCGGGAGTGGCTGAGAATGTGGAGGAAGATGACTTTAATTTGGGAGCATGAGATGGTGATTGATATTTGGAGGGAGTGATGATGCATTGCAATTGGGATGCCCATACTCTCACTTACTTATATAGTGCAATTCGGGAGGCTTATATGGCATAATAGGGTTTGGTGGCTGGCGCGGTTTTGGTATTTTAAGTATCCGTACCGAACTCACTGACCAACATGTGTTATAACTTAATTTGTTGTAGAGTCATTTCATTTAAACACACTTTGTTCATGAATGTCATTCGAATATTATGATTATCTCTTAGACCTTGGATCTTACTCATTTTCACACGGTTTTACAAACAATGTGACAAAAAAAAAACTTTAACTAACAATGACATCATAAGAAACGTTTCTGATTGTATCAAGAACTTTATATGTGAGTGTTTTGGGAATGTTGCGAGTAGGATTTTCCCGAAACACACACGGGTTGGTTTTGGTATGTCATATTACATATCGCATACTTATCATTATGAGGATGGTAACGATTTTAAAATCGTGGTTCTGGAATGGTATATAGAAAAACTAACCCCACGCTCGCCATTGCCATCCCTAGAGGTTGATATTTGCTATAATTTGAAATCTAATTATCTGTTGGTGAGCGAAGGAGATTGAGGATTAAACGTTTGGTTTGGAGGTTCAAAGACAACAACACCCTAATTCACGATGTAAGACTTATACACATAGGCGGAGGCATGCCTCTTTTGGCCTTGTCACGGGACATGGGTAAATTTCGGAGGAAAAAATTATCAATATACATATATATTGATACACAACACTTATAGGTGGTATAAGAGTATTTTGTTACTATAACATAACTCATTATTTGTTCATAAATTGACATACAATTAATTTATTATACTATGAACGAAATTTCAATTGCTATAAAGACCTAATCGGATCTATTTTCTCCTTGTTCCTATTCAATTTTTTCTCCAACAATTCTGAAATTGTTAGCAACAATTCCACTAATTTTGATTCTACCACTTGCAACTACAAGTGTAGAAACAACATTTTCTTCCATTTTCGTCACAAAAAAACAACATTTTCAGCTTCGAGTTATATTAAAAACAAGTTTCCAAGTCGAATTGGTGACCAGTTTGCTAATGATTATTTAGTGGGATACATTGAAATAGACTTACTTAAAAGTGTATGCAAAGAATGTTTTTGTATTTTTTTCACAATATGATATCTCGTTGTGGTTTATTATGAAAACAATGATTGTATTATTAGATTATTTTTTCCTATGAATTAATTATTATTTTTTGATTATCTATGAATTAATTATTGGGATATAATTAATTTTAATTATATTAATTATACATTTATTAATTTAATATTTATACATGTATTTTATGAAAAATAGGACAGGGCAGTATCAAATGTTGCCTCCGCCACTGCCTTATACACATATGATTTTCTTTTATATGCTTGTTCTGTAACCTTTCCTTTTCATATTGAACTAAAATTATGCCATATGAAGAAAATCATATGTGACCTTTCCTTTTCATATTGAACTAAAATTATGCCATATGAAGAAACTGAAAGTGTTATACATTACATTCTCAATCCCTCTACAATAGTGATTTTGGTTTCTTCTGCTCATCAATTAGTTAATACTTAATAGACATACTACTGTTAGTAAACTCATGTATTATATATGCATCATTTATCTGTTGTAACGTAACGAAGATAAGAATATTGAGCAGTTCTACTATGCTATATAAGCATTGGTGCTTTAATATACAATTTGAAGTTGTACCATAACATTATTTAAATGTATAAGTTTAGTTTGTCTCATAAATGAATTTGTACCATTATGCTATGGTACAACTTTGCAACTTGAAGTTGTATCATCACATATAAAGGTACAATTTCAAGTTGTACCATAGCAGAATTTGTACAGAAAGTATATGTACAATCTAAAGTTGCACCATAAGGTCCATAAGCGTTAAAAAGTACAATTTCAAGCTGTATCATAGAAGCAATAACCTGTAGCACGAATGTTATATATAGCATTGTAAAATTCGTCAAAGAATATTAGGCATCTTACTGTTTCCACAACAGAATTCGGAATCAGAAGCCATCCTTCAGGGGAGGTATCTACCTGCTCTGTCGGGGCTTACCGATCATGAACATTGCAGGTATGCAGGTACTATGAATCCTCTATGCGGCCTCAAAAGGGAAAGCAAAATAGGTTTCTTGATGAAAGCTTCATCAACCAAAAATACCACCAAGCTAATTAACTAACCGATCCTTTGAACGCCAGCTATCCAAAGGTACTAAATGTTTAGTAAGACATGTGGTTATCCTAATACTCATGTTCTTCTCGTACTAAGTGCGGGTTACGTTAGGTAGAACCTGTGTGAGTGTTGAATAGGGTACGTCGATATGTTTTAACGTGTGTAATTTCTCGAATTTTACATGAAAGAATAAAGGGAAAATACAGTTTTAAATAAAAAGCCGGAGACTTTATATAAGAAATGGAGGTTGGTATTAAGTAATAACTACATTGTTTGACATGAGAAATGAAAATTCATACTAATCCATTTGATCCAATTGATGAATTCACCAAATGAATTCATATCTATAAATTCGTTAATCCGAAAAATTCAAACCATTTGTTTTACAAATATGAAGTTTATATTGGAAGTATTCTAGGGTGGTCTTGGATGATAGTTCTGCATCAAACAGATTTCTCTGAAGAGAAGCTTACGATGAGGTAGTTTTTTAATGTTTGAATGTTTGTTTGTTCTTCCCAAAAGGTTTATCAAACTTATTCAGAAGGTATGTATTGGACTTCTTGTGGCTTGGTGAGGGTTAAAGCAGAGCTAAGTAAAAATTAGAATAATCTCTAAACTATAAATAATTTAAAGATTCTATTTCAATACGGATTTTGAAATTTGCATTATTTAGTAACTGCGAGTTGTTTATATTCAATAAAAATATAAATTCTATTTTTTATCAAATGAAATGTTTACCCTTAACTAGAAAAGTCAAAATGACCCTAAAAATATTGAGAATTTATTGGTAATTATATTTAGTGGGAGCAATAAAAAAAGATATAAAGAACGAGAGGGAAAAAATATATCACAAACCAACATATAGAATTTTTCTATCTCAACGTGAAAGGTCACATAGCTCAACTGGTAAAACTCTCGAGAGACCCTCGATGGGGAAGTGTGAGGTCCCATGTTCTATCCACCTCGAAACTAGTTGTGGTATTCCTGAGGGCATCAAAAGAGGATCTTAGTGGAGAGCTCAAAAGGCTAAGGCCTCAAGCACCTCTAGGTTTGGTCTCGCTCCGCCACTATTCAAGTGACACCTAAGTTTGATAATTTAAACAAATTTGGCAGCCCCAAATGAATGTCAACTCTCTCATTTTGTGCTTGCATGACATTGCAATTTCTCGAATATATTTTGAGTAGTACACGTTGTTTGAAGCAGGGCTGCCTATTCTCCTCTAGTACAGGATTGTTAGCACTAGCAGCAGTAGCAGTGACCAAAGATGAAGGGAGCAACAGAGGTTGACTAAAGACCATAACGTGTATTTTTCATGTTTCTCCCAATGTTACTGTTGCTTTGTATTTTGCAGCTCTAATTATAATTAATTTAATATCTCTAGATTTTGGAGATTTGAAATTTTCAAAGTTTAAAACTACATTACAAAAAGTCCTAAAACTACATTACAAAAAGCCGTAAAAATACACGATCTTATAATCAATCTATTGTCCAAATCCTCTTCACCAAACGAACTAAGTCACTTGGAATATCGCAACTTCAAAAAAGAAAGAGGGGGAATGGGAGTTAGAGATTTGCAACATTGAAGTATGATGTGTACAGCCTCGATAAGGCTTTTTTTTTTAATAAGGGTGATATATGTTTTGTTTTTAATTAGATGTTATTCGAACCTATGATTCTCAGGTTCAATATCAGTGATACTACCACTAGATAAAGTCCTTGTTTGTTGATAATGATACTTTTATTGTAAGAGAGTAGTCACATTGGTCTCGTCATTTTTAACTAAACTTCCATCGACTTACGATCGAATTCACCTAATCTAAACATAGTCATCACTATTATCCCCCCAAAACGCCAAACGGAATGTATGCCACATTTTTTCTTTTCCTTGAATGAACCAACGTCCCATTGGCTTTTTGTAAAAATTAACTTAGACGGTAATTAGCTTAAATTTGATATCATATATCGAGATGAAATTCATCCCAATTTTGAGGTGAAGGATTCAGCATCTCTATGGAACTAGATTAGGGCCCGCCCGTTGGACGGGTACATTCAATTAACTACATAAAAAAATAGCAAATGTTCGAAGCAAATATGCACTTTTATTTGGCATGATAAAAGAATCTAAATCATTCAGTTAGTGACAACATAGAAAAATAAACATATATATATAGAGTTTTTCGACATCCTAATCGATTCGTATACATAAGAATGAAATTAAAAAAAAACTAAACACAAAGGATCATGTAGAGGTTTTGTCTAGAAATCATACCCGATGTTGTCGTACAATTCCCACAAATGTACTCATCGAAGTCTTCTTCACCTTTTCATGGACAGTGTTCGCATTAAACATAACACCACTCGTTCCTATTTTGAAAAAGGTAATCATTTTATTGTTAATGAGACAGTAAATTGCAATTGATATATATACCTCATCTCTATTCCTCGCTCAAATTCGTTGAGCTCTTGCAATATTTTGGTATTGATCGATGGTTGGGATTCGACTTTGACTCCCATTAGAGGATGTGGTGCATATGCATCACTTTTATTATCGAAGTTTTATATATTGTAATACCGTTTTTTAAGCTCCTGACTTATAACACACAACAAAATACATAGATTTAAATTACATGAATTTCACTTTGACGCGAAATCAATAATTCCCAAATTTGTAGATTCAACAACGGCAAGGTAGCTACAAATGAGAAGGGCTTTCATTTGCGAATTTGATTATCAATTAATTAACAAAGCTAATAGATGCACAAATAAAATAATAATAGATATTTTTTTACCATATATAACATATAAATATTAT